GACCCCACCTCCAAAAACACTTGAGGTTGACCTCTAGTTTCCACATGGGAGCGCATGTACATACACCCCCCCCACACACACACCCCCACACACACCCCCCTTCAGCTGGTCTGATCACGGCATTCTACCATGCCATGTAAGCTGTTCTCTGATGGTCATGTGTGTTGGGTTCCCAGCCAAAGCTCTCCTGTCATGGCTGCAAGTTGCCCCAGGGTACCTGAGGCCAGGGTGGCCTAGGGACTATAGAAATAGAGCTTCTCTCGCAGAACTGGTAGTACTGTGACTTCCGTGTATAATCGCACTGTGACCACTGTGTAGTTCTTGTAGCCGACATCCAAGTCAAGGAAGACACCACATTGTAGCAGGGACCTGATGCTGTTCAAAGTGTGGAGTGCTCATGAAGAGACAAGAATCTGAGGGCAAAGGCCTCTGACAGCTGCTGACTGGCCTTTGGACAGCTCCAGAGGCTGGGATGGGCCAGGCATGGCCTCCAAGGCCAGAAACCAGCATAAGAACAGCTAGGAAACAAAATGCTAGCCATGAGATCTCAGGAATGTAGAAGCTCTCTGTGGCACAGTGAGTGGTCTGTGGTGCTCACTAGGGCTGGAAGAACCTCAATCTTGGTATCTCTGTCCTTGCTGCAGTGATGCCCCAAAGGGTCCCTGTTCTCCCTTAGTGAAAGGATATTGAGCATGGCCCCAAGGATTCCTCAGAGGCACCTGCAGAGGCTTGGTGTTGGCCTCTGTCGTGAAGCCAGCCTCCTCATCCGATAGGAATTTCTTCCAAGCGGCCTTTCATCTGCGTGTTTTGTGGAACACACGTGCATCAGCCTAGTGCTGGGCATGTGATCTGTAGGTCCAAGTTCAAGGGAAGAGCTGCAGACTCTTAGGTGATAGTCCCATGTGCTGTGCCATTTCTCTGTGTGGGCATCTTCCAGAATCTGCCTGTGACAAGGCCAAGAGCTGGAATAGGCCAGGCTCTCAGTGGGGCGAGGAGGAATCCTCCAAACATCACCTAGCTGATGTAGCAGGGAGAACAGTGAAGAGCCGCCTGCACACGTGTAGGTGGCAAGGACCTGGGATTCTCAGGTATCAGGTTCTGTTCTGTGTGGTCCCAGCTACATTCAGACCCGATGGCCTGTGCTGCAGAAGGTACCTAGTGGCCAGGTCGTGTGGGAGTCCATAGAGGTTTCCTAGTGAGATCTGAGCTTGCTTTACCTAGCAGGGCTGCATAAGGGGGTGGATTGACCATGTGCATGCTTACCAGGTGTTTGGAAGGGTCTGTCGTTCGCTGTGCTAAGGAGAGGTCTTTTGCTCCACCCTTTGGCATTCCTTTAAAAAGCCCTTTAGAAGAGACAGAAGGGGCTGGTGGATAGGGATCCAGGCCCTCCCAAGGCTATCCTGTGTTTCTGTCTCTCTCCCCTCTATATTTCTATCTAAATCTCTTATCCCTCACTCCTCAAGAGTACCCTGGAGAAAAGAAGGTGGGGTCAGGTCCCCCACAATGTGGAGCCCATGTTCCTTCTCTCTTGTCATGTTGCCATGACAGAAAGCCTCTGATTGACCACACAGTGTGCTCGCCAGCAGAGCCAGGGACTCATGAGTAGCTGTCCTGCCCCCATGCCAACCTTTGTCAGGCCGCACAGCCCTGTCAGTGGTGAGATCCGGAATGACAGTTAGATTAAAGTCTTAGTCAAAATGTGGCCCACTCAGTCTTTCATTTTTTTTCCTAGAATTTTCTAAAAAAAGATCTTCTAAGAAGAGCAGACCAGTGAGCCATCTCTCCAAGCCCATAATATGCCCATTTATTCATTCATTCATTCTTTTTTTTAATTTTTTTGAGACAGGGTCTCAATATGTAGCCCTGGCTGTCCTTGAACTCACAGAGATCTGCCTGCCTCTGTCTTCTGAGTGCTAGGATTCACTACCACTACCTGGCCCATTATGGCCATTTCTCCCCCCTCCACTTCTCCCCCTCTTTCCCTCCCTCTCCCTTCCTTCTTTCTCTCTCTCCCTCCCTCCTACCCTCCCTTTTTTCTCTCTCAAGACAGGGTTTCTCTGTGTAGCCCTGGCTGTCCTGGAACTTACTCTGTAGACCAGGCTGGCCTCAAACTCAGATCCGCCTGCCTCTGCCTCCCAAGTGCTGGGATTAAAGGTGTGTACCAGCACTGCCAGCCCATTAATGCTATTTCTAATCCCATCTCTTTTTCGATATTTCAAGTCATTTTGGTCTTCTCTGTCTTCCTTCTTACTGGAAGGGAAAGAAAGTTCTCCGCACTGGAATCTTCTCTCAGTCCCTACCTGTGGGTTCTCAACATTCAGCAGTTCTTAGTTCCCATCTCACAGGAAGCATGTACTGTTCCCTTGTTTTCAGGTCACTACCTGTCACCATGGCTGATGCTCCCTGGTGTGGGAATTTTGGCATCTCTGCTCATCACTTCACACATCACGTCGTACACAAAGGGGCCATGGCCCAGCGTCACTAGCACCTCCTGAGGCTGGGGGAGGCTTTGTGTTCCAGGACTGTGGATGTCTTGGTACATGGGACTTAGGACAAGTCTATCATAACTCATCACGTCAGTGACTTCATTTTCATGGAAAAAGTCTCCTTCCATGGATTAGCACAGAATATTTATAGCTGGAATTACTCCTCCAGAGTCAGGGTTAAGCACCCTCCCCTGGGTGTAAGTGGGGACATTGAGGGAAGCTGTCAGTGATACCATCTCATACTTCCCCTCCCTCTAGAGCATGCAGGAGGCTAGTTAGTTCAGGCAGAACCTTCCCTGACGTGGGAGTTGTGTGCCTTTGGAGTTGGCCATCTGATAGACACTTTGTGCCAGGAAATCACCCGTACACTGAACATGGTGTTATACCCGCTGGGCACTGCAGACGCAGCTGGAGTCAGTGACTTCCAGTGGGCTCAACAGTGGCTGTCCATGAGTGGGAGGCTCATGAGACAGCATTCTCACCTGGGATCCTTGGGAAGAAATGCTGTGACCATTCCTCAGGGCTCTAGCCCTCAGCTGGTTCTTCCAAGGTGCCTGCAGCCTCTTCAGTAGGAGTCCTAGGGCTGCTGGGTACTCACTCCAGCAGTGGAGACTAGCCAGCCTCAATCCCATGGGCACCTGGGCAGATAGCCCTATACATGTATGTCAGGTTTTGGTAAACATGAGTCTTTAAAAACCTTTTTAGTTTTAATTATGTGCACGCAAGTGCAGGTGTCCATAGGCCAGAAGAGGGAGTCCATTTCTCTAGAGCTGGAATTATAGGCAGTTGTGAGCTGCCTGATGTGAGCGCTAAGAACTGAACTCAGGTCCTCTGGAAGAACAGCTGGTGCTCTTAACTGCTGAGCCATCTCTCCAGCCCCCAACATGAGTGTTTTAAATACTGACAGTTTGCAGTGCAGGCTTGGCTGGGCCTGGGTTTTCCTGCTGTGCATCCTTCTGGTGTTCTCTCCTGGTTGGGATCCTGTCCTGGGTACAGGATCAGGTCATCTCTGTTCTTACGTGTGATGGGTGCAGGCCTTTCCTCAGCACCACCAGCCTTCCTGACTTGCTCACCCTGTGAGCAAGTGTCCTGGACTTGTGAGCTCCACGTGTACAGTTAGCATAACTTGTTTCGCAGTTCAGAAAGGCAGTGGCCCTTGCCTGCTATACGATCCAGCCTTCTAGTGTGGGGTGAGCAGCTCTGGAAGCTCTATGAGTTTGTGGAGAGAATGTACTTCTTAAAGTCGTGGTGACCCTTGGAGTAACCAGCTGGTGGCCACAGAATCGAGGACCTCAGAGTATCTGAAGACACAACCAGTATGTTTCCCCTGGGTTTGATGGCACTGGGTCGTCTGGAGAGGATATTTCTTGTTGTGGGTCTTGCTATGAAACAGCCCCTCTGAACAGGATTCATACAATGTAATTTGATTCTGAGGTGGGAGAAACTTCAAGCATGATGCAGACTCGGTGCTGTACCGTTCTGCTTCTGCAGCAGAGGAAGGCAAACACCGTGAGAGTGGACTCAGCCCTCCTCACTGTTGAGGGGAACTGTGCAACCACCACCCTATCCCCACATCTTTCATGCCATCCTAGTCTATACTGTTCTGCAAATTCCATGTGCACAGGAGACCATCTGCCCAACAGTCCAGTCTCAGAGCCTTTTGCTTCTCTCCTGTGTATAAGCCTCTTGAGGACATTTCAGGCCATCCTGGACCTCTCGTCCTGTGTTCTGCTCTAGCTTCTTTCTCACAGGCCTTGGTCAGGTATGCATTCAGAGACAGCTTTAGATCTCAGCTATCTAGAGCCCTACTTCTCAAGAAGAATCCCCATACTTTCCTTTGTCTGTAAAGCAGGCTTGACAAATCCTTTCCCCAGGGTAGGTCATTTACTGCTGTGGAGTGTCATGTTCATTTCACGGCACTGATCTTTGGCTCCTGTAACAGGATGAGGCAGCTAGAATGAGCTGCCCCTGCATACAGAGTCTGAAAGAACAAAGCCCTTCTGAATCTGAACTCTGCTGCAAAAAAGTCAAACTGTATGCTTTTGTACCCCACAAAATAGTGGCTATCGGACATTCAGGCCAGGCCCCAGCTAGGGCGCCTGCAACCTTAAAGCTGCTCTCCTAACCTGGAGCCTTGGGTTGTGGCCTGACCAGTCTTATCTGGCTTCTGAGCTGGACACTAAACTCAGGCTGTCCTGCCTTGCTGTTCCATAGTCTGCCTCTGCAGGCTGCTTATACTGGCAGAAAGTTGGCTTTCTTTGCAGCCTTTCCTGGCACCTCTTGGCTCTACCTCAGCAATTAGCCAAGTGACAGATCTGGATTATAATACTGTTTTTTGGTTTTTCGAGACAGGGTTTCACTGTGTAGCTTTGCGTCTTTCCTGGATCTCACTCAGTAGACCAGGCTGGCCTCAAACTCACAGAGATCCGCCTGGCTCTGCCTCCTGAGTGCTGGGATTAAAGGCGTGCGCCACCACCGCCCGGGGGATTATAATACTGTTATGTTCTCTCCTAGTGTCCAAGATGTATGCAGTGTGATGCCAAATTTGACTTTATCACCAGAAAGGTAAGCTGAGGCTGTGGGTGTGTGTGTGTCTGTGTGTCCCAATTCCTCAGAGGAGCTGGATCTTCCAGGGCATTTTGATAGTCTATTTCAGGTACTGGTGTAGTTCCCCAACAGGCAGGTCTGAGCTCCCAAGGAGGCTCAGAGACAGCATGTATGTACTGGGCAGCAAGAAGCTGAAGGAGTTAAGGGCTTGGGTTGTAGCTGAGTGATTGAATGGCTTACCGAGAATGTACAAGGCCCTGGGTTCAAACACTAGACGGACGGACACACACACACACACACGGTGGGTGTCTCTTTCAGTTCACTTTTCCCAAGTGAGGCAGAGCTCTGTTGTGTCCAGCTGGGTTTGTGTGGAAGTGACACACACAGCCACAGATGCATGCATTCAGGGTCCCGACAGCACTGGCTAGCGGAGCGGGCCTGGTGCATCTGTGTCTACTCTACTCACTGCCCAACCTTCACCCTCATCAGCACCACTGCCGCCGCTGTGGGAAATGCTTCTGCGACAGGTGCTGCAGCCAGAAGGTGCCGCTCCGGCGCATGTGCTTCGTGGACCCAGTGCGCCAGTGTGCCGAATGTGCCCTGGTGTCTCACCGCGAGGCTGAGTTTTATGACAAGCAGCTCAAGGTGCTCCTAAGTGGTAAGTGACAGCATGTCCACTCGCCATGCTTAAAATGTGGCCTGCTCCAAGATGGTGTGTCTTGCCCTCGTCCCTACTTTCTTTTGGACTTAGAGATGGACTTCCGAGATGGAAATGTTCTGAGAGGTCAGTCTGACTCACTGGGCACTGCTACCAGATGGACAGGGCGCATGGCTCAGCACCTTCCCCAGATGGAAGGCTGTCACTGGTAGTCAAGTCTGTGGCTTGGCTCTTGGAGGCCTGGAGACAAGCTGTGACAGGTGCAGGTGCTGGTTCTGAAGCCCATCCAAGGAGCACAAGGGAGAAGAAAAGGGAGTGCTTTTGGGGTGCGGCCTGCCTCCCATAGCTCTGCCAAGCAGCACAGCCTCTCATGGCTGCAGGCCTGTGTGCACCCCACAGGCAAGGGCCAGCCTCTACTCTGCCAATTGGTCTTGCCCAGTCTGCTCTAGAGTTAAATGATCTGGGCCTTGATGATGAACTCTCCTACTTGCCATCTTTGATGGCTGTAACAAAATTCACAGCTTTGTGTGTGTGTGGCAGTGCCTTTATTTCTACTTTATGTGGGTGGGCGTTTTTCCTACATATGTCTGTGTACCATGTGTCTGCCTCATGCGTTCCCCTGGAACTGGAGTTACAGGCAGTTCTAAGCCACCTAGGTTCTCTGAGAGAACAGTGCTCTTAACCACTGAGTCATCTCCAGCCCCAATCAATGTCTTTTTAAGCTTTTGAGACCCTTAATTCATTATTGCCTTTTTGCCTAACTGAAGGGATTCTTAACACAAAGCTGTTATTTGTGTCAGCCTGTCCTCTCCCATCTGGTAACGAGGAAGGCGGCTTTTCTGTCCTGAGCACATGGGTCTGGGGGCAGGGAGATAAAGCAGTAGGTCCTGTGTAACCGGTTTGGTTTTGTCTTCCAAGGAGCTACCTTCCTTGTTACTTTTGGGGACTCAGAGAAGCCTGAGACCATGGTTTGTCGTCTTTCCAACAATCAGAGGTAAGAGGCGCAGTCCCTCTGGCACCGGGCAGTACTGTCGTGGGCTTTACACGTCCTCAGTCTCATGACGTCTCTTTGTTGTAGATGCTTGATTCTGGATGGGGACAGCCATCATGAAATTGAGATTGCACATGTCTGTACGGTGCAGATTCTCACAGAAGGCTTCACTCCTGGAGGTATATGCCTTTCCTGAGCAGGAGGGTCTCTAGTACCTATATGGGCAACAGGAGGTACTGCACTTGGTCCTAAGATGGCCTGTCATGCTCTTCATTGGGGCTTGTGTTAAGTCAGTAACTTTAGAACCCACAGGAGGGAGGAGGGGATAATGAGGGGAGATTGGCCTGGTGTGCCCATGGTATCCTGTCACCGAGATCACTTACTTACTGTAGATGGCTCCAAATGCAGTATCTGAGGCTCCAGACACGGTCTGTGGTGGGGGCTGATCCGGAGCCTCCCCTGCAGGCATCTGTGCAGCTAAGACCTTAGTGATCTCCTTGGGGAGCTTCAGTCTTAGCTTGGCCCTGCAGGCTGAACTGCACATCGCACATTCTGAACTTGCAGATTGACCTAGCACATCTTGCTTTCCATTTTCTGACTGACTCTCGGTTGTTTCTTCTTTGCACTGCCTGCCTACCTTCTTCAAGTAGAAAAAGACATTCACACTTACACCAGCCTCCTGGGGAGCCTGCCTGCCTCTGAAGGTCAGCCTCCCTCCTCCCTGGGTCACTCTTCCCAGCATGCTATGGTATCTGTTCCTCCTCTGGCCCCTTTGCTTCTGTCCCTTGGGGTGGATTCTGAAACTTGGGTTCACCTCTTTTGATTAAGAGAGGTACTAGGTCCAATATATGAATCTGTAAAGCATAAGTGAAAATGTCCTGACAGAATAAAGTAAGTTTGCCCAGTTCTTCCCAGGGGAAGTTACTCAAGCGCTGACAAGCCGGCCTGCAGTAAGCTGAGGCCAGGTGTATAGGAAGTTCTTTGCTGATCGGGCAACCGGTACATGCAGTGGGCAGCAGTTTTCATCACTGCACCCACAGTAGCTTGCCTGCAGGGATTCCTGGTTCTCAGTTCCTCCATCTCTGTCTCTTGAAGGTAGTGGTAAGAGGGGCCGCCTAATGAAATACAACAAGGAGGCGCATGGAGCAAGGGCAGGGTCTGGAAGTCCACTCAACACCTCACCCCGCCCCCATCAGGAAGCCTAAGGTCAAGAATGTACCATGCACATGCCTCTAGTGCCTTTAGAGAGCAGAACAATGTGTTGGCTCCCCTAGAACTGGAGTTACAGATGGTTGTGCCACCATGTGTAGGTGCTGGGAACTGAACCTGGGTTCTCTCCAAGAGCAATCAGTTCTCTTAATTGCAGAACCATCTTGATAGCCCCTATTGGGGGGTAAAATTTTGATGGCCATGCAAAGCACAAAACAGCCACAGCCAACAGTGACCATGGCCACATTTACATATATTTTTATTTACAAAAGCTGATGGTAGACATAGCCCAGATAGGAAGTTCTGCAACAGCTTGGGTAGGGCAGCTCAGCCCGAGGCCTTCAGGTGTGTTTCTAGGCCTCTGAATTAGAACTTAGTTCAGAAAGCCTTTGGGGTGGGCCCAGCCATCTTAGCCAGAGCTTTTGCGGGCAAGGAAGTCAGGTCTCTTCCTGGCTATGGTCTGTATGTTCAACTCACCCCACCGGCCAGTGGGACCCAGGCTGTTTTGATTTAGAATTAATGTCTGATTAGAGGTGGGTCATTTCTCAAAATGTTTTTTTTTTCTGGTCACCATGAGGCTAGTAACCATGCCTGACAGAACTAATCTGCGTCTCAAGTTGCTTGTTTCTAGGGCACAGCCTAAATTCAAATCATTATGCTTAGAGCAGCTGGTCATAACCCAGAGATGGAGCTGTGGCTTGGCAGGCTGACCCCCAACATTCTCCATGGGATCCTGTGAGCTGTGGAAGAACGGCACTTGACAGGGTAGTGTGGCATTGCTCCTGCATTAACAATCTGCTCAGCTGTGGCCTCCAAGTCAGGACTGATGTAACTATCTGCTTGGCTTAGCTTCTGATGGCCAGGCCATTCCTAAAGTAGTTTCCATACTTCACTGCTCTACTCTGGCTGAAGACTGTGTGTGTGTGTACGTACACATGCATGTGGTCTCTCTGAAGGTTGGAAGGAGAATGCCATGATCTAGAAGGCTTGGCAGCTTCTGGACTGTTGGAGAACAGGACTTACTCTATAAAGTTGAGTGATATGGTACCATTAGTTTATCCTGGTCCTGGGGATCACAAGTCTTTTATATTCCTTTCCCGTTCTCTGTGCACATGGGGTCTCTGCAGAAGCAGGAGCTAGTATCATTTACCACTACATGTTTCCAACGAGGCTGCTTCCTGAGCAGCACACAGGGCATTAAGGTCCTATATGCTGCCTCATCTCCCTCCTCCAGCAGGCAGCACTCGAGCCACAGGGATGTCCCTGCAGTACACAGTGCCAGGGGCAGAGGCTGCAGCGCAGCTGAAGCTGATGGCTGGCGAGGATGCAAATGGCAGCAAGAGGCAGGCCGCAGCATGGCTGGCAGCCATGCACAAGGTACCACGGGCAGGGTCGGGGAGACTGAGCTCATGGGATTAGAGACGAGTGTGGATTTCCCAAAAGGTTGCCACATAACTGGGGTGCCCCTAGTTACTCCCCTAAAAGGCACATGGGCTCATCTCTGGTCAGGCCAGAACCAATCATGCTTTCTGGTATTCTGCAGGCTACCAAGCTCCTCTATGAATCACGAGACCAGTAACTGCAAGGGAACTGAGCTCAGCACATCAGGTTACAAAGTCCAAGCTGCTTGCCCCTGCCTGAGCACTCAGGGCTCTGCTCTGTGTGTGCTTGGAAATGCAACTCAAGTACCTGGAAGCAGTGTTCGCTTATCTAGTGCAATATGTACACAGTTGACTAACGCTTTCAAGAGCTTACATTGTAGCGTATTGTTGGTACTTTCAGGGTTGGGAGAAGCTGCACTACAGTACTAAATCCGTTTTAGTATAACCTATGCCAGGTTTATTAGAGATTTTTGGCCCTGTTCCCACAGAAACAAATTAGGTGGTGGTCACTCAGGTCCCTGGTTTAGCATTGGACCCTGCCTGTCTCCAGTAGCCCATTTACAATGCCTTAGCCTGTTTGACTCTCTGTTTATTTTGTCACTAATTTGGGGCAGTGAACAATCCTTTTATATGTCACTAAGGGGAAGGCATCACCTTTCTGTTTTCTACTTTTCACTTATTCTTCACTTTATTGAAATGACTGTACAGTAATTTGTATATAAAGTGTATGATTAAAACTTATTTTGAAAGTACACAGCAGGCTCTGGCCTCACTTCGTGTAGCTGTCCTGCGTCCAGAACAGACTCACAGCCAGGTGTGAGACAGCGTTTATTGTGCATGTCACACAGCATTGGTGGTGGGGGGATGGCAGAGGCTGTGCTGCTCACAGGGCATCACTTCTCAGCGCCACCCTGACTACAGCACTGCTCCCAGAGCCTACACACAGATTTACACGTAGTTATGCACAAGACTCACATGAAAAATAAAGCCTAAGGGCTTGTGTTTCAATGAGGAAGAAGTATTTCCAACACAGTTCCGGTAGTTTTCAATGGCCTGGTTGAAAAATAATCTTAGTGTATAAAAAGCCTGTCTACAGAGTTCAAGCTCCAGAGTATAGAGCTGGCTTCACTTGGAATGTGGCCACAGTGACTGCATTCCAGCTGCCTGGTGGCTTTCCTGACCTGGGCCCTGCCCAGCCTCCTGTGTCTAACTGCATTCAGAACAGAATGAACTCACGCCGCAGGGGGGCTAAAGATGACACTAAAAGCTGCAGGAATCAGGTGACCCTGTGTGCTGAGGCATGTAAGTCCAGCCACAGCATGAGGTCATCAGGTTAACTACACAGAACAGTTTCTAAATGGGCTCCTTTGGTAGTGAAAGGAAATAAAATTCTTTTGAGTGGGAATGTGAGAAAGGATGATGGTTTTGAGACTTTCCAAGGAGGGCAGGGCTGTAGCAAAGCCATCTGGTAGCAGCTTGCTTTTGCTGAAGGTCGGAGACATGGAAGATGAGAAGGGGCCTTTGGGCCGAGTCAGTCAGAGCTTTGTCTTCATTGGCAACCGTCCGGGTTCATAGTTTAGGACTTCTTACTGGCAACAGGGGTGAGTGTTTTGGAAGCTGGATATTTATTTGGATTTACAGTAATTGGCAAAATTGCAGTCTTCTGAAGGCCAAAGTACTACCTGTCCAGTTACTGCAGACTGGAAGGGCCTCACCTGGGAAGCTGGGATTCACATTGTGGATACTGTCTGCTAAAGTGAGCACCATGAGACTGGCCTAACTTCTGTTTTTCCAGGGCCGCTGGAATCCTTTCCAGTAGTTCCCAGGAGCCAATGAGACTGTGGTACTCCAAGGGAAAGTTCAGGCAAGTGTTCGCTGCCGGGGCTTGATCCGTGGATACAACTGGGAAGCAACAGACAAGAGTTAGGGCAAAAAGACGACTGAGGAGGAATTAGCCTCTAGGTTCCTCTCCTGTCATCTCAGCAGCCTGCTCAGTCCTAACCTCAGCTGTCCTCTTCACTGAGACCCAGAGGATCCTGTCCCTCTTTTTATCACACCTGAAACCCTGTTACTATCTGCTAGGCCCCGACAATGTAAGCTCCTCAGGTGCAAGCACCTGTGCTTGTCATGGCAAACCTTCCTGCCAGATGCCAAGGCAAGTGAATATGTGCCAGGCTTACCACAGCACCCGAGAGCAGAGGCAACCTTTCTATTAAAGGACAGACAGACACTATTATGAATGCAGCCTGGCTGACAACCCACACTGCTCCATTTTACAGGCTTTTGAGCAATCAGGTCTCTACCCCAGGCTGGCAGTTAACTTTTCCTTCCTACCTCAGCCTTCCATGTGCTAGGATTACAGAGGTTGGGGATTTAGCTCAGTGGTAGAGCATTTGCTTGGGCCCTGGGTTCAGCTGTCAGCTCAGGAGAGGGAAGGGGTTACAAAACAACCAAGCACTAGGATTACAGTGTGTGCTACTACACCCAGCTCTTAGAGATTCCAGATCAGGGAGAACTAAGTGGCGTGGCTTAGTACTTGCCAAAGTTCACCATGAGCAAAGCAGATTGACTCTAACCTCCCCACATGCTCTGCCATGTGGAAAGCCAGACTCTAGGGACTCAGGGGCTTGCCCATACACAGATCAGATTGCTAGGGCTTGGGAAAAAGTGTTTCATTCTACCCTGATGTCAGCAGAACTGAACCCATGCCCTGAATGTCTTTGTGACGTTTGTACAGGCAGAAGGCCAGCTGACTTCCAATATCTAAGGTCTAAGTGTGCTGAGTGCTTACTTACCCCTAGCAAGTTTTTGGGCACATAGCCCTCCCGGTCCCCAAGACGGGCCCACCACCACTCAGTCTCATTTTCATCTTTGCGCCTCAGGATGGTGATGGCATCCCCTTCATGGAAGGACAACTCATCGCTGTTCTGGGCCTCGTAATCCCACAAAGCATACACAGTGCCTTTGTTCATCACTCCCAGCTTCTCTTGTACCCCTGGGACCAAGAAGAGAGAGGTTTTAGCGGAGGCTATCAGTCAGGTTTTAGCAGAGGGTGGCCAACAGAGGTAAAGGTAAAACCGAGGTTACACCAAGAATGAACTTTGGGCAGTCATCAGGTGGGGCGCTGTGACTGCACTGAGTAGCAACCGACCAGCTGCACATGGTTGTTTGCTCCGTGGGTGTTGTAAGCATAAGTTTACACAGGGTCTACTTTCAGGCCTGTGCTATCACTGCCGAGAAATCTTTCTCTTAGCGGGAGCCTATGTGACAGCAGCCTCTTCCTCACATGGGCTGGGTTTGCCAGGGCCCTTGGGCCTGCCCAGCTTCATTAATACCCAAGAACGTTGTTGCCTGCCTTTGTTGTGAAAGTTCAGTATCAAAGGTAGTTTGGCTGTTATTGCTTGTACCACTAGGCCAAACAAAGTAACTTCACAGAGTTGTATGTGGAACCAGTGACTTGTAACTGCTTAACAGAGGACATGGTTGAGCTCCTATATTTCTTACACTGGCTACAGCAACTTAGTTAGGACGCTGGAGGTGTGTGGATGGCCCCAAGCCGGCACAGAAGTGGAGCAGCCCTGCTTCAACTCATACACCCAACAGCAAGTGTGTAGACCAGTGCTGCCTGGCTAAATGCACTCCCACTCCTGGGACCCCAGGGTATTCCACTCACCCCCGAAAAGACAGGGTTCTCTGTGTAACCTTGGTTGTCCTGGAACTCACTTTGTAGACCAGACTGGCCTCAAACTTAGAGACCCACCTGTCTCTGCTTCCCCAGTGCTGGAATTAAAGGTGTGCACCACCATCGTACCCACTGTCCTCCTGAATCCAGGGCATTTTTTTTTAAAGATTTATTTATATAGTATGTATATACTGTTCTGCCTGCATGTATGCCTACACACCAGAAGAGGGCACCAGATCTCATTACAGATGGTTGTGAGCCACCATGTGGTTGCTGGGAATTGAACTCGGGACCTCTGGAAGAGCAGCCAGTGCTGTTAACCTCTGAGCCATCCCTCCATCCCTCCAGGGCATTCTTACTCTTCAGCAACTGAAACGGAATCTTCCTGATGGGACTTTTGTTTAAGGCAGTCTCACTATGTAGGTCAGGTTGGCCTGAGGCTTGTGGTCTTCCTAAAGCTTTCTAAGTGCGAGGATTATAGGTTTATACCACCCAGATACAAATGAGATTTTCAGATGTTTGGGGTGAGTGTAAAGGCAATGAATACTTAAACGTGATCTGCTCACTGAGCCAGACTCTAGGCCAGCATACAGGACACAATGCTGATTAGCCAGGGGAAGCAGCTGAGGCACAGGAGCTTTCCTACATACCATATAGAAACTGAGAACACTGGATGTATCCCTCTTCCATCTCTTCACACTTGTCTGCAGCAGTCTCAATGTCACTGATGGTGGAGGCAAAGATAGCAGCTCCACTTTCCACCAGCTGCTTGCAGAGGTGGACACTGTTGCAAGAGGCAGCACAATGCAGTGGTGTCCTAGAACCAGAGGGGGAAATGTATAGTCTGGCATCACCCAGGGCTACCTGGCTCCTGTGTGCTGTGGGATGGTCTGTATGTCAAGTGTGTTGCTGATTGGTCAATAAATAAATCACTGATTGGCCAGTGGCTAGGCAGGAAGTGTAGGTGGGACAAGGAGGAGAATAAAGCTGGGAAGTGGAAGGCTGAGGCAGAGAGACACTGCCAGCCGCCACGATGACAAACAGCATATGAAGATGCTGGTAAGCCAAAAGCCACGTGGCAAGGTATAGATTTATAGAAATGGATTAATTTAAGCTGTAAGAACAGTTAGCAAGAAGCCTGCCACGGCCATACAGTTTGTAACCAATATAAGTCTCTGTGTTTATTTGGTTGGGTCTGAGGCTGTGGGACTGGCAGGTGAGAGAGATTTGTCCTGACTGTGGGCCAAGCAGGAAAACTCTAGCTACACCTGTGTAACACAAACCTCCAAGAATTTTGATGAAGGTACCATACCTTTGTACCAGGCAAGTTTCTAGGTATTTTGTTAATTTTATGTGTATGGGTGTTCTGCCTGCATGTATGTATGTGCATCATGTACATGCAAAGGCCAGATGAGGGTGTCAGTTGATCTCCTGGGACTGGAGTACAGATGATTATGAGCTGTCATGTAGGTGCTGGGAAGCAAATCTGGGTCCTTTGGAAGAGCATCCAGTGCTCTTAACCACCGAGGCATCTCTGGAGTCCCAAGTTTCAACTTGCTTTTTGTCTTGTTTTTTTTTTTTTTTTTTTTGAGGCAGAGTTTCTCTGTGTAGCCCTACTGTCCTGGAACTTGCTCTGTAGACCAGGCTGGCCTTGAACTCAGAGATCCAACTACCTCTGTCTCCCAAGTGCTGGGATTAAAGGTGTGTGATGTTATATCCATCTTCCAAGTTTCTAGTTTAAATATTTCTTTTTTTTTTTTTTTTTTTTTTTTGGTTTTTCGAGACAGGGTTTCTCTGTGTAGCTCTGGGGCCTGTCCTGGAACTCACTCTGTAGCCCACGCTGGCCTTGAACTCAGAGATCCGCCTGCCTCTGCCTCCCAAGTGCTGGGATTAAAGGTGTGTGACACCACCTCCTACCTCAACTTTTTAAAACTTGTATCACTTCTTTTTGTAAGGTAGGGGAAAGTGAGTCTCTGAGCCCTTCCACTTCCCACTCCCCATGGGTTCTCACCATCCATCGCTGTCAGCAGCATTCACGTTGACACCAAAGTCCAGCAGAAACTTGACGATGT